CCAGAACTATAACCAAGATAATAAATATAACCATCACCTCTAAAAGTTCTCTTGTATCCTCTTGCTCCACTGGCCACTTCCAAAAAACCCAATGATCTGCTGTCACTAAAGCAGGTAGTCCTTACTTTGCACAGTGGTATTGTACTGTAAAAATGACTGTGCAAACTGAGACTGTGAAAAGCAATCTTAATAATCACTGGGGAAACTATGATTTTTCAGTGACCTTTAAAATTTTTGTCAAAACATTTTACTCTCTTATTGTTGGCTATACTATATAGGGAAATAAAAAATATTAAAACCAATATGCATTTAATACCCTATCATTTGAAACACTGAGGATTTAAACTCTTTTACCTCTTTGTAAAACTTATCAAGAGTACAGTGCTTAACTCTTAATTAACAAAACTTATGAAAGAGAATAAGCAACTCTTCTATGTCCTGGAAAGTTGTCATACTACTGTATGAACTTGGATTAGTTTCCAACATTTTGTCCTTTGTGCTTTCACTGCTGTAAAATTTTTTAAGAGTTCCTTTAATGTGCAGTTTCATTCTGGCATCATTTTATCTGGAACATCTTCATTCTTTTCATCACAGTCACTGTCTTCATGTTTGTATGTTTGCCTTCATTAAGTTCCTCTAGCTGCATATCTAGAGCCTCTCAAACTGCAACAGTGCATCCACATTCCCATGTTCAACTATTTATTCTATAACTACATTGAGTTTAATTCAAATTTCTCAGTTTTATCAGTATTTATCAGTTTTATCAGTTTTTATCAGTTTTATCAGTTATCTTAGTTTTATCAGTATTATCAGTTTTTATTTCTTTAAATGTTTGGTAGAATTTCCCAGTGAAACCATCTGGGCCTGGAAGTATTTTTATGGAGAGGTTTTAATTACAAATTCAATTTCATTAATAGTTATGGGGCTATTCAACTGATTATTTCACATTGAGTAAGTTGTGGTAATTTGTTTGGATAAGCCTCAGGAAGGCAGGAAAAACAAAAGAGAAAATAAACAAAACAGAGAACACTCATATACACACACAATAAAATAAAACAGCAGACTTAAGCCCTAACATATCATTAATTACATTAAATGTAAATGGTCTAAACACATTAAATCAGAGGTTGGCAGAATGGATTAAAAAACATGATTCAAATACATGCTATCAAAAACACTTAAGATATAAGCATATAAATAAGTCAAAAGTAAAATAAAGGAGAAAGATATAAATACAAACATTACTCAAAAGAAAGCAAGAGTGACAACATTAATATCAGATTAAGTAGCTTTCATAGCAGAGAAAATTACCAGAGATGGGGAGGAATATTACATAATAAAGAAAGGATAAATGCACCAATAAAACATAGCAATCATAAATGTATGAGCACCAAACAACAGTGCTGCAAAATATTTGAAACAAAAACTGATTGGGATGAAAGGAGAAAAAATAACTTCCCAATTATGGCTGGAGACTTCAACCTTTGTGACAGAACAGACAGAAAATCATCCAGGAGATAGAAGAACTCAACACTATCAACTAACAGGATTGAACTGACATTTATAGAATACTCCACCCAACAGCAGCAGCACAGGCATTATTTTCAAGCACCCATGGAACATATACCATGGTAGACCATATCCTGGGCCATAAAATAAAACTCAACCAATTTAAACAAATTGGTATTATACAGAGTGTTCTCTAATACAATGGAATCAAAACTAGAAATCAGTAATAGAAAGATAAGAACATACTCAAATAAAGTAAAAACCACGCTTTTAAATAAAAGAAGTCTCAAGGGGAAAAAAGTGAAAAAAAGTCTCAAAGGAAAAAAATACACTAAAGTGAATGAAAATGAAAATATAACACATCAAAAGTTTTGTGACATAGCTAAAGCAGTGATGAGAGGGAAATTTATAACATTAAATGCTCATATTGGAAAGCGGAAATGTCTCAAATCAATAAGCTATGCTCCCAATCCAAGAAACTAGAAGAGCAAAATAAATCCAAAGCAAGTAAAATAATCAAAGTAGTAGAGATAAGAGCAGAAATAAATTAAAAATTAAAAACAGAAAAGATAACGAAACCAAAGTCCAAATTCAGATTTACATCCTACAATTTATCACGTCAAGGGTCTGCTATAATACCTGGCTGCAGTGAAGCATTTACCACTGGTTTATTGTGATTATCATGGCCACTCCTAAAGGAAGAATGTTATTTATGTATGGCTGCAGCACCAAACACACAGTGTGGCATATGAATGACAATGCAGCTTCATGTGATGTTGTGGAACATGTGAGATACAGAACATTGCCTAAGATTCTGAGCCATACTGCCCCAGCATTTTGCACGAGCAGCTATATAGCTTTGCAGTAGAAAAATCTAAAGAATCTACTGCATGTGTTGTAGTTTGGAGAAAGACAGAAGCACAAAGAAGCTATACCATGGACAGTACTTTGTGTTGCTGTGATCAGGGAACATATAAGGGTTTACAGATTGGTATTTGAGAATTGGAAGAGATGGGGGCAAAATTTTGTGTTGGCCTATCGTGTTTGAAAAGACTGATATCCTCATTGGAATATAATCTGCCTTCCAGTCTGCTTGACTTTGAAAATGACTTGATTGAATGGAGCTGCAGAGTAACTAGCACCCCCCCCCACTCATGTTTTGGATGAAGATGAACCTTGATTCCTTGAAGGAACAGATTACAGTATAGACAGTAATGATGAGTTAGATACCGAATTGACTGAAAATGCAAGAGACTATGAACCTTCTGCCCAAGAAGAAGTACTGTCTGACTCTGAATCAGGAACCCTTTGATTTAGAGGGTTGAGCTCTTTGCCATCTCTTGTTAATTGCAAAGAAGAAATGAAATATCTTGGTTTTTATTACACAGCAAGTTTGAGAGAAATGAGTTTAAAGAGAGCTGACTCAGATAAACAGAAAGCAACTTGGGCCTGTTTGGTTTCAAGACAATGAATATGTTTATTAATTCATGATAAAAAGATGGCTTTGTGAAATGGTCAATAAAAATGACCATCCTATAGCAAGTAAAAAAGGAGATAAAAATGGCCAATATCAGATATGAAAGGGGGGGATATACTACTGTTTATTTTGCTTTAAGTGTGTTCATAATTGCTCACTGAAGCATTTTTATGATGGCTCCTTTTAAATCTTTGTTAGACAATTCTACTGTCTCTGTCACATCAGTACTGGCAGCTACTGATTATCTTTGATCAAGTTGGGATCTTTTTAGTTCTTGATATAAGTGATTTTTTTCCACTGGAACCTGGACACTGGGTATTATGCTACAAGACTCTGGATCTTCTTTAAACCTTTTATTTTTACTGGCTTCCTCTGACATTGCTCTGGCTGGAGATCTGGTTGGGAAGGGTATCATCTCATCACTGTTAGGTGATTGTAGAAGTCCTGGTTCACCATTTGGCCTATGTTGACATTCAGGGGCAGGAATTCTTTGTTACTACTGAGGGAGGCTGAGAGTTCTGGCTTCTCACCAGGCCTCCACTGATACCTCCCTTGCTGGGATTGGTAAGATAACCTTACTACTGCTCCCTATATGGTCTTCACTGATACCATGTGGCAGGGGGAGAAGGTGTCCTCATCACCTCTAAGGAGTGGTGAAAGTCTCTGATACTACCACAGATGGGAAGGAAAGAGATGCATGATTACTACTGGTTTAAGGTGGTAGTCTAGGCTCCTCACTGTTACTGCATCAGTATATGAAAATACTGACAGTAAAGACATGAAAATGTCATGAAAATGTTCATTCATGATACTGTTGTGATTTCTAAGAGGATGGTGGCAATGACGATGAGCTAGTGAGGGTAAGTATGTATGTTGGGCAAGACTGAAGTTTTTCTTAACAGAGAATAGACAGTCTCTCTGTGGGTGGGACAACCCGGGCTTGCATTTTTAGAAGTGATTTGACAGCATTTCTGGAACATGACTGAGACCTAAGAACCTGCTGCTGCTAAGTCGCTTCAGTTGTGCCCGACTCTGTGTGACCCCATAGACAACAGCCCATCAGGTTCCTCTGTCCCTGGGATTCTCCAGGCAAGAATACTGGAGTGGGTTGCCATTTCCTTCTCCAAGAACCTGATGCTAGGGGCCAAAAATTCAAGAATGTGGTCTCTGATCTTTAAGAACCTAATATGTACTAGAACTAGACAGCTGAACAATGAGATGTATAATTTCTCATAGTAACCAGGAGGTCCCACCAGCCCTTTTATCTGATGCTATTCCTTCTTTTCCTTCCTTCCCTCACTCATTCATTTAAGCTTATACCAAGCATTTTATTTCATGCTGGCCATCATGCAAAACACTCGGAACACAAAGACCAGTAAGAAAAAATGGCTTCCAAAACTAGTCGTTACTCTTGAAGAGCTAAACTTACTATGTCCTCTTGGCAAAAAATACTCTCCTACTTAAACTTCTTCTCAAGTCTTTGCAAAGGAAGGCTGTGTGCTTATGGTCAACCCAATTATTCTAGTTATCCCCTTTCATTTGGGTTGATGCATTTTACAAGCTGTGTATGTTTTGGCCCTCTGTTTACAGATGCTATCACTATGAAGCCCCTATTAAAATGAAGCAACTTCTCATGGCGTTATATATTAATAGGGTTATTATGGGGTTATGTAATTAGTGCTCTGTTTCTCTTCAAAGGCTAATAAATGCTACTGATTGTTGAGTCAGACTGGGAAATCTTGGTCTCCAAAACCTTATCATAATTTCAGACTGGACTTCCAACAGTTTTATCCTGTGAATAGGTATATATTATATCCCTAAATAAAGAGTCTGACTGACTACTGACCTATCTTAGTTTGGTATAATCTGCCATTGGTCTGAGTGAGTTGCTGAACATGTATGTAACTTAGCATTATAAATGTATAGTTAGCCACTCAAAGTCTCCCCTCAAGCAGCTCACAGACGACCATAAGAGCATTCATCCCCTAAATCAAAGATACAACCATGAAAATACCTGACGGAAGGCTGTGGAAGAGTGTCTGGATTGGCTGGTACTTGGACTCCCTTTTCCCATTCTTCCTTCCATGTATCCGTGAAGAGGTAATAGCTGTCAGGGTTAATATGGTGAGAGTCTGGAATCTTCATGGCACTGATAAGGTCCTTCCGGAATACCTGGTAAGACATTGCACACACCTTGAGAAGACCATCACTATGAAATTAACACCATTTAATGTTCTCCTTTTAAAAAGACCATCCCCACCCACTCTGCACTCCAACAAGAGAGACATCTCTAACTTCCTAAATGGTCAGATCAACTTCTATTTGGAAAGGGTCTGAAGAATTGACAGGAAAGTCAGCTTGTTCTGGATTTAATAAAGAGTAAAGGGGTTCTTCCTGAATTTTCTTGGGCTCCTTGAATTTAAATCAACAGTACAGGATACTCTTAAAAACTCTATGTAAATAAAAATCTTTAACTCTCTCAAATTAATCAAAAAGTATCCTATGATAACTTATAATCATTTAGCTATCAACTTATTTTAAAATTATTTACATAGACATAATTTTAGTATTACAGAGAAGTTACAAAAATAATACAGAGATCCCATATATCCTTATATTTCCCTCTAATGTTAACATCTTGTATAACCAGAGTACAATTACCTAAACCAGGAAATTAACATTCATCTACAACTAATTTTCCCCCTAATGTCTTTCTGTTTCAGAATTCAATCCAGAATCACACTTTGCAGTAGTTGTCATGTCTCCTTTGTATCCTCCAATTTGTGATAGTTTCTCCTTTTCTTTCCAGACCTTGACACTTCTGAAGAATATCGGTCACATACTTTATATAACGTCCGTACAATCTGGGTTTGTCTGATGTTTTCTCATGATTAGATTGAGGTTATTCATTTTTGAGCAAAAACACCACAGAAAGGATGTTAAGACCCTCTTATCCCATTATATAAGGAATGTATGATGCCAATGTCATCATAGTGGTAATGTTAAACTTGATCAGTTGGTTAAGATAGTGTGTCTTGCTGGTTTTCTCAGCTCTTAGGTTACTATATTTTCCTTTCTACTTAATAAATATCTTAGAGGAGGTACTCTGAGATTATAAAAAAACACCCTGTTTCTCCTCAAACTGTCATGGACTAATTTTAGCATTGACAGATACGATTTTTTTCTCTGCAAAAGTTATTACTTTTGTTATGGTATTCTAATGGTGATTTGTTATCTTCCTGAGTTCTACCAGCTCTACATTTATGAACTGGAATTCCTCTGTTAAAAAAAAAAAAAAAGACCTGCCCCTTCTCCCTAATTTATTTGTTCATTCATTCAATTATTTATTTATATCATTAGAGCCTCATGTGGTGGTTTGTTGTTTTAGTTGCTAAGTTGTGTTTGACTCTTGTGACCCCACGGACTGTAGCCTGCCAGGCTTCTCTGTCCATGGGAGTCTCCAGGCAAGATGGAGTGGGTTGCCATGCCCTCTTCCAGGGGATCTTCCCAACCCAGGGATCGAACCCAGGTCTCCTGCATTGCAGGCAGATTCTTTTACCAACTGAGGGAAGCCCCCAGAGCCTCATGGATCTATTTTATTCTTTGGGTTATAATTCAGTATTACTCTTAATTATTTTGATGCTCAAATTGTTCTACCTTTGGTCACTGGGAGCTCTTTCAGGCTGGCTTGCACCTATGTACTTTTGACACATCCCACTCTTTTTTTGAGTACTTTTTAAACTTCCTACATTACAACGTGCCCTAGGCATCTTCCACTTGATTATAAAGCTATTGATTTTATATGTTAACGTCATATCCTGCCACCTTGCTGAATTCTTTTTTTTTGTGATTTTTTTATTTGATTTATCCAATAAATGGAGAACATTCTGTGAATTTAACACTATTGGGTTGCTTTCTCTGACCTCTCAAGTTCAAGACATTTTAAAAGATTATTTATTTAAAAAAATTAATTTATTTATTTTAATTGGAGGCTAATTACTTTACAATATTGTAGTGGTTTTTGCCATACATTGACATGAATCAGCCACGGGTGTACATGTGTCCCCCATCCTGAACCCCCCTCCCATCTCCCCCACCATCCCATCCCTCAGGGTTGTCCCAGGGCACCGGCTTTGAGTGCCTTGTTTCATGCATCGAACTTGGACTGGTGATCTATTTCACATGTGGTAATATACATGTTTCAATGCTATTCTCTCAAATCATCCCACCCTCACCTTCTCCCACAGAGTCCAAAAGTCTGTTCTTTATATGTGTGTCTCTTTTGCTGTCTTGCATACAGGGTCATCATTACCATGAAAGTTGAAGTATAGAGTATGATACAATAAAGCAATTAATTCTCAGTTGGTGTAGTCTGTTTAAACTGACATTTCACAAAGTACAGGACTAAACGATCATATAATCAAATGATGTCATTTAAATGAATAAGGACTCATTCCATTTGCTACTTTGCAGGGACAACTCTGCAAATGCCTATTGGTTTCATTTAGGGAAGATTTAGAATTAATCATATGACCTGAACAGGAAACCAATGTTGAACATGCTGGTGATGAGGTGGTAACAAAATGACCTTCCTATGAAGAATCCCAGCCAATTAATTGGGTACTGTGTGGGGAGAAAGCTAAGTCTGTAGGAAACAAAAATGGAAGGTTTATTACATAATGCTTTGTATACGGAAGTAAGAGAGGATCACAGACATATCTATTAACATATTTTGCACAGAGCTCAGTGTCCTGGGTGGCCAGTGGGAGAAACTGAATCACCATTTTGCTGAACACTCTGAACCATCTCTATAAATTACCCGAGTGCCTTTAATGAAACAGTGGTTAAGAAGCGGTGGCAATTTACAATTGTGCTCAACTACTGCCTCTGTGAAACAGGGTTCTGTGGGAAATCCTACCTTAGCTCTGGAAAGACTACTACAACCAAGTATTTTTCAACCTCCTAAAATATTTCACTATTTTCCATATGATATATTTCTCAAAATAAATCAACTGACTGCAAAGTCATGCTTTGGGTTTAGTAACAATCACACAGCATATACCATGTCTTCATACCTGATATAACTGCTTATGAAAATCTGTTCTGTAGCATTTTCTAAGTAGCCTAGAGACACGGAAGTGGGCTGAATGGTGCCCCCCCAACTCCAAAAACATGTCCACATCTTAATTTCTGGAACCTGTCAATGTTACCTTACTTTAGAAATGAGTTCTTTGCAGATAAAAATAATTTAAGGATTCTGAGATGAAAGGATCATCCTGGAAAATCCAGGTGGGCCTTAAACCCAGTAACAAGTGTCTTTATAAGAGAAAGGCAGAGGCAAATTTGAGACAGAAGAGACGGGAGTACAACCATGGAGGTAGAGACTGGAATGATTCATTAATCCACAAATCAATAAGTGCTGACAGCTATCAGAACCTGGAAGAGCAAAGAACAGAATTTCCCTAAAGTTTCTGGAGGGAGCAATCTGGTCAATTTTGGACTTCTGACCTTTAGAATTGTGAGAAAATAAATTCCTGTTGTTTTAAGCCATCCAGTTTGTGGTACTTTGTTACAGCAGCCCTAGGAAACTAATACACACATTTACCAAACAGAAGAGAAACTTGAAGACTCTAGACAAAGAGAAAAAGCAGAGGCCAATGAAATTTGGCTCTTGTCCATTGCTTCAGAAATAGTAAACCTCCAGGGAACAGGAACTCTGTGAAGTCTGGGGAACCTGGGACTGCAGAAATAACAATCAATTCATACCTATTTTTCTTAAGCACATGAAAGCTAAATCCAATGACTACTGTAATCTTTTCTTCCACCTTTAGAAAAAAAGACTTACACGGTAAACTCGATTTCAATTTTACAAGCTAGCCAGATTAAATAGCATCAGATCCAAGGTTTCCAGAGAAGCATTTTTACTCAAGGCAGAGTGCAAGAGTCTGCCTTATCTTGCTGTAGAAGTCAAACATTTCAAGTATGAGGCAGAACATAAAATGCTGAAGAGGGGATAGGAATGCAAGTTCAGTACTCAGGAAGATATCTGCAAAGTGATACAAAATATATTTACCAGACTGGTCTCATGAATTTGCTTCTGGTAAGAAAAGGTATTTTTCAAGGTTTTTAAAATAAACATGGGCAAACAAAATAGTTATAGTGTATCCTGACAGAGGTATCAGTTTTATACACATATAGTAGTACACACATACATTCATATTTGTATATATTTTCATAAACAATAAAAAGATAAGCCAAGAACTTACAAAGAAAACCATTTAACACTGAGAAAAGGGGAGAAAATAGGGACAAGAGAGACAAAAGCTGGCTCTCTCTCTGTATGTATTTTGTTTCATAGTTTGATATTTGAACCAAACAGATGTTTCAAATGTTTAAAAATAAATTAAAAATCTTTATAAAGAAAGGAATATGTGTCTAAGGACAGACTGCTAGGATTGGTCTACTAATTTTACCACTTACTAGTTTGGGGAAGTTGTCTAAATTGTCTATGTCTCAGTTTACTTATCTGTAAAACAAGAATAAGAACACTTAACCTCACTGGGGTAGTTGTAGGGATTAAATAGGTGAATTTATGTAAAGATCTTTAGCATGGTATTGGGCTCATGGTAATTGTTAAATAAACTCCAGCTGCAGTTATTTTACTATCATCAACATAGTCTCAGATTTAGTTCTAAAAGCAGAAAGTTCTATTTTCCAGTCCATAAATTAATTGTTGATAGGTAAAAGGAGATGTGAGTTCATGGCTCAACTAAAACATGGATGGTTTGACTTCCAAAGACAGTGTTTCCAAGCAAGAGCCCCATCGAGAACTTTAACCAACATTCTATAGGTCACGAGGTAATGCAGAAACTTTACAAAATGAAACATGGCTATTTGCTGCTAAATTAAAGATTGTGAATGAGGGATCTGGATGTTGACACTGACCTAGGTAATGAAATTTAGAAGTTTTACAAGTTCTTAATTGTTTGCCTACTTTATATGCACTGGTAGTTTCCCCAAAAGTTCCTGAAACAAAAAGACTTTGTATTTACCAGATATCTGCTCATTTATGGTCAAAGAGGGAATTCACAGCCTAACATACAGCCCAGAAGCTATGCCAAGTCCAACAGTGCATGTCCATCCTGGCCTCTCAGATGCTTGCAGAAACAAAG